CGGGGCCGCCGCCCCGGGGCCGAGGCGCGGCGCGGCCCCGGCCGCGTGAAATACCCAGATAAAAACACGCTGTTTTAGTGGTTACCGAGGAAAAAAAACACGTTATTTTAGTGGTTACTGAGGAAAAAACACGCTGTTTTAGTGGTGTTCGTGGAGAGCGCCCCAGGATCAACTTGTAGGACACTTGGCAGGGGAAGATCCAGCAGAAGGCTCTTGGCCCCGTGTCATCAAGCTGGGGCTAGAGCTTGCAGTTCATTGTAGCTCATAAATGGTGTGTCATAAATCCAGCATATATCCATGTGCGGTAGGATTTGCGTAGGCTGGCACTGATGGATTGAAAGGAAAACTGGGGAGTGTTTTGTATGTGGAGCTGTGTGGTCATAACAAGACGGCATCAACTTATCCACATTAGCCAGCAGTGCAATCTAGTACTTGCCAGTGCGGTACCTGTTTGTGGTGCAGCCAGATCCGTGCTAGCGAAACGTGAAAATTCCCTCCTGTGGTGATTAGCAGAACTGGAAGGCTTGGGAGAGACCAGAAAGRCTACACACGTTCAAGAAAGGCTACACACGTTCAAGAAAGGACAGGCGAGAGCTACAAGGGGGCACAGGGCTGCCTCCCAGCACCGCGGCCTGAGCTCAGCCACATCTAACTGCTATTAGCAAAGGAAAAATGGGAGAGAAAACGTTCCTTTCAACACAAGTAACAGCTTTATAATCATGAAATGAGGAGATTTTGGCTCTGCTGAAGCAATTAGCAATGTAGCCTTAAAGCACGTTCTTACTAGAGGTAGAAACTAGAGTCCTCTRAAGCACGGACTGTGCGAGTGCCAGTCCCCTTTAGCACAAGCTGCGAGTTGGGCAGGCCGTGTGGGTGGCAGGTATTGAAGGACCTGTGTTTCCTTATATCCACACTTGCAAAATAGGTGCATAAAGCCAGTCTTAAATAGCTAGCGCATGTTGACAGTGATTTTGAAGTTCACCATTTAAAATGTAAAATTTTTAAAATTTTCTATAAAATACAATCTTTGTAATTTATCCTTTTCTTCCTACTTAGGAAACAAGGGCTTTCATGTAAAACATATGAATATATAAAATAAAAGCCTGAAAGCTGCATTGTTATTCAGTAGATACAGGAGGGAGATACAGGGCGAGCAAAGCTATCCATGGTCAGCGGCTTTGCCAAAGACATCCCTCTGTTCTTGGGGGCAGACGGGGCTGATTGGAGCAGCCTCAAATTTCAGCACAGAAGGAAGGAACGAGAAAGTGTTTCCTGCTTCCCAGGTTTCTTAAATGCAAACCTGGTTTCCCCACCAATTGCTTTCTGCATGGGAAAGAGAAGTAATTTTTGACTGGCAGTGGGCCAGGGACAAAAGCAACAGCCAGACTCACCACGCTAGTGACCCCACGGGGTGTAAGAGCTACGTGAAAGCACAGGACTAGGCACTGCTATCTAAGGAAGCAGAAGAAAGAGTGCTGATTATTGGAGCACTTCTGAATTACTCCTATACAAAGTACCTAATGTTCAGTTGGAACCGTTTTTGCTGCTCCACATGGCTTTCTTCTGCTTGCACCACAAAGAGGACGAGCAGAGATTTTTCTAATGAGTCTTAATTACTTACTGACATCTGCCACTTGCTCGCTCCCTGGCCATGGGGTTTATTAACATTAACCTGCATAAAAAGTTGTATTTGTTACTACCACTGKTTTTGCTTTTATTAAATTTATATTTAATTTCCAGCTACAAAATTAACTACTAGCAGATACAGGAAAGTGTTAGCAGGATAAAAGCAGTGAGATGGTGATTTAAGTCAGAGATGAAGAAAGGTGTACYATACTATAGCTGTTATGTGCTGTGGTCTTAGCAAAGAAGAAGAGAAAGGGCATTATATTTTCCCCTTACCTTCCTTGAATTGGACTATTGCAGATTGTAATGCAGTTCTGACCAGGAGATAAACCAGTTAAAATTGTTTAAAATATTTTACCATAGATTTGATTTTTGTGGTATGCAATTTTTCAAACAAAACCTTTTTTTTGTGATTCACAGTTTTCTGAAAAATAAAAAAAAAAAATGTTGGAAAGAACCTTGGGGTGTTGAAATCTACTGCATTACTGATTAGGACACTTGCTTGAGGGGTAGGAGGCAGGCCTCACATCCCTATTCTCTCTCAGAATGAGCTGAGATTAAAATCTCTGCGCTGAAATAAGTTGAGCCTAAGCCAGACATACAAAGGCACCACACAATTTGCTTGGTTTTCTAAATATTTTATTTTCATGCATTGGAACCTCAAGAGATACACTTTACAGTCAGTTCCTGGTCTTTTTTGAAGCCCTTTTCAAGACTATTCTGCTACCAGAACACCCAGATTGCTGTGCCTTCATGTTTTCAACAGGGAACAGAGAGAGGATTTAGTCATCATTTGTATTTGTATGTTTCAACTTGTGGTTTATAGACCACAAGTAGGAGAGGTGAAAAGGGTGGGCCAGCTGAGGAAAACGTATAATGTACCTGAAAAAAAATGATCAGGAAAAGGAAGTTTTTGTGTGTTATGCCTCATTTCCATAGGGCACATTTATAAAGCAATCTGTACCTTCAATGGAAAATTCTTACAGGTTCATAGATTTGAAAATTGCCAGTGCATTAACCAAGAAATATCTTTTTTTTTTTGGAGACAAAGATACACAACATAGGGTAGCTGTATCAGTGGCCAGAAGCCAGGATATTTGTATACACATGAAGTTAATGAATAAGTTCTTGAGAAAAAAAAATCTGTACTTTGTTTTGGGGACTCAGAATGGAAAGCACTTGGAAAGAAGATAAATTGAAAGAAGATTCTCAATCACATCTGTTTCTGCAGTGTGTAAATAGCAAATCTTTTCTGTGTTA